TGTGAGGTTACCAATGAAGCTGTATGTTTATCTAGACTTTTAACCTTGTTTTGTTAATGTGTGAGAGAAAAAGTTGAAAATAACTAGGAGAAAGATAAGAAAGGTTCACGATTTCAATAGGACTTTTCATTATTTTTATCTGTCTGTGTTTTTCTGAGTTAGCTGAGTCTCGAACAAGTGTCTAATTCTAAGGAAAACGGTAGAATAGTCCTGGTGAGATGGTTGCAGTTCCTTTGGGCAGAAAAGCAGGGGGACAATGGGGCTGGGTTAGAGTTACACAAGTGCCTCGGATGCCAGTATGAAATGGGAAGAGACATTCAACCCAGTTAGGTTCATTTTCACCTGTTTCCAAACCTGCTATGAGTCTTTCCTCCTTCTATACTGATAATTGATGTAGTAATAACAAAATACGCATTCCCATACATGCTCATTTCTTGTGCGTTTAATTAATCTCCGCTATTACAGACTTCCTCAATAAAGGGAACAAAAGCCAAAACATACCCTCTCTTGCAGTTACAGAGTCATGATGAGATGAAAAGTAAAACGGACTACAATACTTAATGGTGAGCATGTCCCATGACTTCCTGTTTGATTGAGCTCAGGAAGGGTATAGACCTGCAGCATCTCAATAACCATCACAAAGGCTTCCACTGGGCACTCCTTAGTAAACACTTGTCTGTGTTTTTGCCAGGCGCTATCCTGATTGTCATTGCATCAACTTTGGATCATGGTTTATGCTTTCCTTCCCAGCTGCTCTTATTATTCTCCTTTTATCCTGGATCTGGCTTCAGTGGCTTTTCCTAGGATTCGAGTAAGTATATTCTCCATATTAATCTGATAAATCAAGGTGGCTAGGAGTCCTTGGTTGGTGGAAACAGTTAATAGACTCAGCTGCTAACAGAAAGCTTGAAGGCTTGAGTCTACCCAGAGGAACCTTAGGAGAAAGGCCGGACAATCTACTTCCCAAAACACCAATCATTGAAAACTCTCTGGAGCACAGCTCTACCCTGACGTCCCTAGAGTTGCCATGAGTTGTAACAGACTCAATGGCAACTGGCTTGGGTTTTTAGGTTCCACGTCCTCAGCTCATTACCCAGGGCTCTTTCATGTCTGTCACAGATGCTGCATTGCTGCATTTCTTTTACCCACAAAACCAACACACACAGTCA